TCTTCATAACACTTACACACTATCTAACATTATCCCATGTTTACATACTTACTAGCATTGTTTACCTGTTTATTAAGTGCCTTTCTCTAGAATATAAGCATCAGCGGATCAAGGACCTTATCTGTCTCCCATGGCCACTAGGTCTCCAGCAATGCAACTCTAACAGGCACTCAGTAAGTATTTAATAAAGAAACGAATGAAGGCGTGCCAATTGCTACTGTTGAGGGGACGAGTAAGGGGCGGATCAGCAGTGCCCCACCTCCCAGCTGGCAGACAGGCACACATACCTGGGCAGAGGTTCAGGCATTTTTGCCAAAGAGCAGACGGCCGCCAAGGCCAAGGTGTAGGTAGCAATGGGCACACAGGCTCCTGCTGTCACAGAAACCTGTGAACTTGGCCTCAGCAAGACCAGCCAGGTGTATCTTTAGGCAGAAAACCTCCCGGTTAGACACGGCCACTGAGATCTGATGTCTGGGCTTTGGTGCAGCCATGAATAGAAGGCCAAAAGTCTGTGTCCTTTCCTGAAATTAAAAAAAAAAAAAAAGTATCTCCAGGGAAACAAATTCTTGGGAAATAGCACAGCTAACTCTGATGCGACTCACATTGGCTGGGCCAGGACCTGTAGCAGATTGAGCCGATTCATGGGGTAGACATGACTACGAATGGAAATAACTAGCAACGCAGAATAAGGGCACTCAGTTACCCAGGAGCACAGAGGGCGGGTTCAGAAGCTCCTTCTACAAGGAAGGCCCAACGCTCAGGTCCCGGTTCCGGGAGGTGAAAGTGCACCCAGTAGAGAAATCCACAACAAAACGCCCTGCTGTGCCAGCACCGTGGGCTGCGGCAGGTTGATGCGCTGCTGCTGGCTGCCTGCGGGAAACAGGACAAGATCCTGAATGCCGGGGTTCCTCGAGAACAGCTCCTCTGACCAGGAAGGAGTCGAGGCGGCTGCTCACGCTCAGCAGGGGCAGGTGGGGCTCTGAAATGTCCCCCCACCACCACCCCAGCATGTCCAGAGCGATGCTGCTTACACGCTGGGACGCACCTCCACGCCGAGGTTTGAGGAAATAGCCAGAGCTTTGGGGCCCATGCATCTGGCTCAGTCACGTGCCATCTAACACTTTTCTTAAGTGACTCTTTCCATCTGAGGGGCTGGGTAAGAGTCATGTTTTTAAAACGGCAAGATTTGATCCATTTGTCGGGAATAAAATCAATAAAGGATTGCAACCAACATTCTCTCAAAGTGAAATGGAGGCCCTGGCCGGGTAGCTTGGTGGGCTAGAGCATCGTCCCGATACACCAAGGTAGTGGGTTCCATCCCTGGTCAGAGCACATACAAGAATCCACCAGTAAATGCATAAATAAGTGGAACAACAAATCAATGTTTCTCTCTCTCTCTCTCTCTCTCTCTCTCTCTCTCTCAAATCAATCAATAAAAACTTTTAAAAAGTGAAATAGAAGAATTTAGAATATAAAATATCTGGATGCACTCCAGTTAATAGATAGGCAGTTTCAGTGGCCATGTGAAACTTACTTCATCTATAAACACATACGTACTGAAATCAGTACAAAATGTATTGCTCACTGTGGGTTACTTTTTTTTAGTTATTTATTTTCTTTAAATTCAAAACATACTATGTTGATTTTTCAAGGCTAGTAGCAGAGACAGACCAATCAATATGTCCATACTACTCCTTGACTAATTGTCAAGTTCCCAGTGTTTGCCTGAGGACTTGTGATCGTGTGTGTGTACACACACACACACACACACACACACGCACACACACACACACACACATCCAAAGAGAATCTGTCCAACGAGAATGCACCCAGACACCTGCACCGTGGCCCCTCCTCCCCAAACGACATGACTTTCCTGACATGACATGTCCGTCCGCTTTGCTTGTTTTTTGAACTTTGTGTAAGTGGATTCAGAGCAGGAACTCTAACTGTGGACACAGTGACCCAGAAAAAGGAAATGCTCGATGCTGCGTTTATTGTCCAACATGACCTCAGCCAGAAAGCATTGCGAAAATAATAACATTATGATTATTGGCTGAAGGCCTGTTACGGGCCAGACACTGCGGTTGAGTTCATTCTCACCGAGGGCTTGTGATTTGAGGTGTGTGCTGTTATCCCATTTTTCAGGAAGGAAACTGAGGCACGGAGAAGGTGTGATGCGGCAGCCCAGGGTCCCCGGCCCTGAGAATGGCTCAGCAAGGGTGGCATCGTCAGCCACCCGCCCCCGGAGTCCTTTCCATGACACGCTTTTTCCACGGGCTCAGATACTTTACAACAAAGTAGCTGTGAAATAACAGTTCGCTCCAGCTTCGGCGGAACCAGCCCGGCGTTGTACAAGGGACCAAGTCCGCCCCTGCCTGGCTTGCACCCACTCTCGGTGGAGTCGAGTTGGTTTACATTTTCTAAGGAAGCAATCACACTACCCTTCCTGAAGCCAGCGGGTTCCAGAAGGCCTGAATTAAGCTGCGAGGTCTAATTTGGGGACATTCTTACTCCACAAAATTTCTTCCAGAACATTTGGTCCTTTGGGATTTCCCCAACTTGCCAACCATTAGACAGAAAATTCCATCTCCCTCTCCCTGGTTGCTTCATAGTATCCAGTGTTTCCCCTGGACCTTACCTATGAGTATAGTTTCTTCTTGGGCTACTTTGGCAACTCCTCGCTATCCAGAGAAGTGTAAGGGCTTTTGTTTGTTTGTCTAACAAATATAACTACAGTTCACGTCACTGGTGAAGCCACGTCTAACCGATGACATTGGTTAGTAACTTGTTCAGTGTACTCAAAAATAGAGGATAAAGGGGCCCACGAATCAATTCTCCTCATATTAGAAATTTTAGAGGTTTTATATTCACCATCCAGATTACAACATACCTACTACCCCCCTGGAGTGCCAAGGAAATTAGTCAGGCCTTAAATTAAACTTTAACCTTGTTTCAAATTAAAAATACAACTTGCCACATTAGTTTCATATGTTTCTATTTCCTGGCCTCAAAAACACTAACAGCTCTTGACTAATAGTTGAAATCCTACTTAGCACTCAATAAACCACACAACTTCCCTAAAGCCCAGGCAAGCCTGATGGAAGGGGTCCCTTTGCTTCCACAATGCTTTGCAAAATTCTAGAGGCCTGTTCCTCCATCCCTTACCAGCACCCCGCCCCCAAGTAAGCCTTCAATATACCTAATTGCATTGGATTAATTCTAAGGTTTTAATTGAAGTATAAAATGCATACAGACAGGTGCAAAATGCATACAGACAGGTGCACAATCATAAGTGTTTTTGAATGTTCACAAATTGAAAGAGAATACATATATCCAGCACCTCAAAAGGCCTGCACCATGACCCCGCCTCCCCTGACTTCTCACGCTGTACCTTAGCTTCGCTTGGTTTTTGAAATTTATATAAATGGGATCCCAGTATGAACTCTCTTGGTTTTGCTTATTGTACTAAACATCATTCTTGTGAGATTTAACCATGCCATTTTGTGTAGCACTGGTTGGTTTACAGTCTTTTGCTGCTCAGCATTCCATTCTGACCGTGCAGTTATTTATCCGTTCTGTTGATGGACATTTGGATTGTTTCTAATTGGGGGCTCTTATAAATAGAGTTGCAATGGGCATTCGTCAATATTTCTTTCTATTAAGTATTTACGCAGGAGTACAATTCTTTAGGTTGAGTGAATACCGCCAAACTGTTTTTAAGGTGGTTGTAGAAATTGACGAGCTGATTCTAAAATTTAAAGGGCCACAGAATATTCAAGACAATCTTGCACAAAGCTGGAGGTCTAACACGACTACCTATTATAAAACTATAGTGATTAAGGTCATGTGTTTGGGCACAAATAGTGCCATGGATTAAAAGAGAGAATTCAGAAACCTATTCATAAATATAGTTACTTGATTTATGATATTGGTGACAACTGCAATGCAGAGGGGGAAAGAGTGATGTTTTCAATAAATGGTGCCAGATCAATTGGATAAACACATGAAAAAAAATTCACCCCACATTAAAATCAATTCCAGATGGATTATAGATTTAAATGTTAAAAGTAAAACAGCATGGCTTTGTAAAAAAAAAAAATATATATATATACACACACACACACACACACACACACACACACACATATACATATGTATATGAATATTATTTAGGGCACGCAAAAATTTCATTTAAATAGTACAGTAAAAACAGTAACCATAAAAGAAAAATTTTCCCTAGCCGGTTTGGCTCAGTGGATAGAGTGTCGGCCTGTGGACTGAAGGGTCCCAGGTTTGATTCTGGTCAAGGGCACATGCCCAGGTTGCAGGCTTGATCCCCACTTGGTGGGCATGCAGGAGGCAGCCGATTAATGATTCTCTCTCATCATTGATGTTTCTATTTCTCTTCCCTCTCCCTTCCTCTCTGAAGTCAATAAAAAATATAAAAATTCAATAAATTGGATATTTTAAAAATATAAATAATAAATATTTAATACTTTAAAAATAAGAACTGTTCCTCAAAAGACACTGCTAAGTGATTGAAAACACAGAGCACAGATTGAGAAAAGATATTTGCAAAAATATATCCAACAAATGACTTATAAACAGAATGTATATAAAACTCCTACACACAGTTACAAAGAGATAAACAACCCAACAGAAAAAAATGTGCAGGAGAAGAAACTTGAATGGGCACTTCACACACACACACACACACACACACACTATGCACATATAAAAGGTGCATAAGGGAAATACCAATTAAAGCTACCCTGGACAGGCAAAAGAATGGCTTCAGTGAAAGAGTCAGGTAGCACCCAGTGTAGGCAAGAAGGTGGAGTAACCAGCCCTCATATGCTGCTGGGGGTGGTAAATATTGATACAGCCACTGAATGTTCTTAAACAGGATCTGCCCCAATTTTTCTCTCTCCCCACCTCCCAGGGGAATGGACTGCAGTGGGAGGATGGGGGCTGGGACGCCTCCACAGTTAATACCAAGCACGTGCACACCTCTATTTATTCATTTTCTTCTTTCTACTCATTCACCTACACATCAAGCACTCCCTGAGCCATATTCTCCCCTGGGCCCATTGGCTAACACCTGTGCACACCATTGGGAATAAGACTCATTTCTGGCCAGGCTGGCCTCACAAGCTCCTAGGGAAACAAACAGGCACATACTATAAACGACATGTTTATCTCGTCCAAAGACCCCAGGCTGTCTCACTATTCTTAAATATATTCGCAAACTGAATTCCTAGATTTCAAGGTTAGGCTTGAATTCTAGGAATGTAAGTTGCAAAATTCAGGTTCAAGTTGTAAAATGTATTTGTTGGCCATTTTTATTTCTTCTTTTGTAATTGGCAGTTCACATACTTTGTCCAAATGGCATTGAAGTTTTCTTTGAAAGAAGGCTCTATGTGGCAAAGATATTAAGTTTTCACTTGTTACATACATTGCAAATATTTTCCCCAATATTTGTTTTTTCCTCTTTAATTTCACTGTGGGGTTTCTCTCT